CATTAAAATTTACCTTTAAAAACCTATAAGTACAATAAAGTTTAAGTACTTTCTTTTAATTTTGTGAAACTTTTTTTTTCGATTTATCAATAAAATTCAACTTTTATGAATTTGTACACCATAACGTTTATGTGGCTTAATTGGGTGAGCACAAGTGTACATATATATATTGTTTTGTCGTTAATGAATAATTCAATTGTCCATACTTTTAAGTATGGTATACTCCATAGAATAATCCTTAAGAGCTGTTGCCAATTCCATTAATGTTGTATTCAAGGCAAAATTACGCGCCAAAACTTTTTCGAAATTTTTTACAACCTCTTCTTGCACTGCTGAAATCTAATATGTTTAAAATGAAATTGGATTAGGCTCTTAACATAAACAGTTATTTTTATATATAAATTATAGGACTCTTATCTCAATTATCATCATTTATTTCCGTCTCTAATTTCACGATATCATCATCTGTTTTGATAGGAAATTTGGAAATAGCTCCAACAGTTCCCTTCTCCTTTTGAGTTAGATTTTGTAACAAAACGGTATGTTCCGCCAAAATATTAATGATCACTTTGTTTTGTTTTCCAATTAATTCTGGAAAAATAAAAGAATGAGGGTATTTTAATGATATTCCATTTGATTACAATTATGTATATGTATGTAATTTTGTCCACAAATAATTTTTGAATGTTGTTGCACTTATCGCAACCATCATTGAAGCTATCTAAATAATAAAAATTGTCAATGTAAGTTTTTTCCTTATGTACCAACTCCAAATATTTACATATGCATGTAAGTATGTATATGAAAACAAAATTAAAAACGTTAATTAGTGCAGCCATGTAATATTGGTATAAAATTCAATTGAAAACATTTCATTTTCAGTTCTGGGTACAGCATCTGCTAAGCATATACCCAAAGTTGAAAAAGAGTCTAAGGGTTCTTTGAAACAACTAATAGTATTAACTTATCGTCTTCCAATTATTACCCCAGAGCCGGAATCCGATTTTTCAAAAGCTTGAATATTTATAATAATAAAAGGGTAGATTAAACAGATATTATTTGGAATTTTTGTGCTAAACAAATAATGCAGATTGGTATATGTTTTAATATTTGAATTCATTTCTATAAATCCTGTTATTTTAGATTTAATGTGAAAGTCAGAATATGTATTTATATTAGTTAGTTGCTTTAAAATTTTAGTAGGTTTTCGAACGTTTTTTTTTTAATTTTGTAAATAATTTTCAAAGTCATGCGCAGAAAATTCGGAATAGCTCCTAACGTTTTTACACCATCAGCTATGTAGGTGCAATAGACTGTGAACGTTGTATGAAACACTATCATCTCCAAATATTTTTGGAAAATTTTCAACGAATAATTTCAAGGCGTCTTCCGCATTTTTTAAGTTTGAATGAACATTTTGTGAACAGGAGAGCAATGTACAAGCGCAATGTAATAATAAAAACTCATAGTATACATCTTCATGCACTTTATCTTTTAGAACTAAAATACCTGTGTTAGCAAAAATTGTCTGAATTCTGTAGCCTTCCAATGTGTAACTTCCTCAATACTTCTAGGTAGACGAACGAATTCCTTTGGAATGTGAATTTTAAGCGATTCCAAATGATCGGATATTTGTTTTTTGTTTGCTACACATAGTCGCTTTTCATAATTTAATTTATTTTTTAAAATTCTAACTAAAAACTTTTTCATAACTCCAGGATATATTAAATGCATTGGATCTAAAGGTACCTGTGTTAACATTTTTAAATTTACTTTTTCAAATGGTGTTTTAACTGTGCGAAATACTATTTGGTGATGATCAATGTATCTTCGGAGATCGAAATCTTCATCACCTACAATTTTTCCAACTTTCATGGGATACACAAGGGTATTTCAAATATCTTTGCTTCTGCTGTGCACTTTGAGCACCCATGAGTTGATGTGTGATGCGGAATACCACAGGCAAATGCTCTAGCTGGTGCAACATATATTAAAGATCTAATTTTTAATTCATATATTTTACCGCCTAATTCTAACCCATTTACCTTTAGAATTTGAAACTCATTGTCAAAAATAGCTCAAAAACTGATCAATATCACTTGGCTTTTGCTTGCCTTTATATATACCCACAGGAAATACCGATATATTTGGAATATTAACTATGCGTATTAAAATTGGCCAAAGTTGAGTTCTTGAACTATTGAATACTTTCAATTTTCTTAATTTGATTTTTAAGGCCGAGATGAACATACTTTCCCGGGGGAACATGTTCGGTAACCACTTCTTCATTTTTGTAGTCCAATAGAACTAAGGGACTTAACGGTTTCCTCTTTTAAAATAAATAAAAGCTCCCGAAGGCTTTATGACCGATTCTATTTTTAATCTGCCAAGCTTTCATTTTTTCCCGAAAAGAATTCTTTAATCGAAGCTTTTCCCTAGTGGCATCAGTACTATGAAAAGAATTGCAATGCGCAATATTCTCGGTAGCGGCGTCGTTTCCCCGAACTCGTACTGATGCCTTATTTTTACCGGCTAATTGCTCTGTATAAAACTCTTTTTTAGCTTTAAAAAGGCGTTTCAATGCCTCTTTGAGCAACTCATTTCATTTAATCACTAATTAATTTATTATTAAATTTTTCACACACTATACTCACAAAAGTCCTTGAAATTTCTCCAATTATACCGCAGTAAATTTTTCTTCCAATCTTCCAATCCATCCAGTCCGTCTGACAATTTCAAAATGAGTAAATGTAGGGGTGGGCGATACACAATATATGCTGTCTCTTATACACATCTAGATGAAACTGTAGGTGAGGGCACGTCGAGGAAAATTTAATTTAATTATAAATTTTTTAAATAGAATATAAAAATTTCGGTGCAAATATGTTTATTATAATAGAAGTGTTTTCGAAARTTAAGAMTAAAGATAAAAATTAYCTTAAGAAWAATATTTTTGTGCACATTTTAAATTAAGCGTACAAAAATTTGATAATATTATATCAAAAAGATTGCAGAACACCAGACGAGAATATTCCGAAAACGAGCAACAAAAGTTTTCGCGTGTAAACACGTTCTAAGTTAAAAATTTTATGTAAATCGATTTATTATGTTATTCTCCATAATTAATAGTTCCTTTTTAGACTAAAATATTCAATGTTTTTWATAATTTGCTTCAATTTGTTTTAAACTAAAATGAGAAATGTTTCAAATTCTTAGAAGACACTGTTCGTAAAATTGTATTTCAAAGATCTTTTTGAATTAAATTTTTGCTCTAATTCTTATACATATGTGATTAATGAAAGCAACCGCAAATACAGAAAAAGTTTAHGTGGGGTAAAAATTAACAAATTCTTCAACGTGGTAATAAATAAGAAATATTTACGTTAATAAAGGTTTTTTGAAATGTATTAAATAATTTTCAATGACTTTTTAGCAAAAATAAATCGATATCTCGTTACGATTTATTTAAAATTATCGTTATTTTTATGATGTCCATTGCTAAATATACCTGCATACGAGTATAACCGAATCAAATTGCCGAATAATCACGAAAAAGATGACGTTCAATTTCGGACATCGTCCAGTGCAGCATAACACATGGTTAGGTATGTAACCAGATCTCATCGCCTCTACTTCGAAGCATTACGCAATTGGACTACGTAGTCCTCAAATTTTTGCAGGGTATGTTACCCGCAAAAACTACGAAAATTGTTCTACAAAAWCAACAACGGTTTCAAATAGCATCAGCACCCTGCAAAAATTAGAGGATAAGTGCAACAACCTTCAAAAATTATTTGTGGACAAAATTACAGAATTGGGAGGTATGTTAAATATATATACATATACATAATTGTTATCAAATGGAATATCATTAACATACCCTCATTCTTTTATTTTTCCAGAATTAATTGGAAAACAAAACAAAGTGATCATTAATATTTTGGCGGAACATACCGTTTTGTTACAAAATCTAACTCAAAATGAGAAGGGAACTGTTGGAGCTATTTCCAAATTTCTTATCAAATCAGATGATGATATCGTGAAATTAGAGATGTTTTTATTATTATTTTCTTTATTAAAAAATTTTTATTTTACACAAGTATATTAAAATTGAAATATTTTCTTTGGATGCTGCAATTAATTTTTTATAAAAGAAAGACGTGTGGCACTCGGGGACTGCCGCGGTAAAGCTATTGCGTAGCACAGGGATGGGCACATTTTTAGCCCGCAAAGTTAGCAAAGTGCGCACGATGGCTTGATGAGGGGAATATCAGTTTACGGAGGGAAGGGCAAAAGAGTTGTGAAAAAAATCAA